TTTGTTTAAAACTTGGTCAGCCTACTTCCAGTTCTTGCTGTGTCTGGTTTTCAAATGATGACACAGAATGTGAAGTATTTCTTGCTTCGTTTTCATATCTTTCCTTCTTAAGGGGGAAAAAATCAAATGTCTCCAAACAATGATGAAAACAATCTTAATTTTTTCATTCTCTAATTACACCTCTTTATATACGAATTTCTACCAGAGAGGGTTTGATTTCCTTCCACATGGGATAGCTGACCTTTACCATTTTATCATGTTCAGTTTTGACAGAGGAAGAGGAAATTCAATGCACCTTAAAAGTCATAAGCTAGATGAACGTAAATATAAATATAAAATGATAAAAATATCACTCAGTCGTTGTTAGATTGACATCAAGTCAGAATAGTGTCAGTATTAATGCTAATATAATGTTAATTGCCATGTTCTTGAAGATGTAAGAATTCTATTTTCCCTCCTAGATCTGAACACAACTAGTCCTCAATAATTAAAGTGTCTTTTGCTGTTATTTAGGTAGATAAGTCGTCCTAAAGGAGTCATTAATATTCACTTCATTTCATATCGCACTTTACTTGTTAGCTGTGCAGCAGTCCCATGGGTAAAGATGCAGCCACTTAGATATTTTGGCCCATGTATTTAGCATATGATAAAAGCAAGCCACAAAGGGTATATGTAGATAATGGATTTACAAGCTGCACTGTTGCCAGGCACTTACAAATTGGCTGATAAATTTGATGTACTTAAAGTCTGAAGTGTGGCATTTAAAATGTGGCAAAGCTACAGGTCTCAGAGTGTTTCTTCTCGTTACAGCTGGGCAATCCTTCTTGTGCCCTTCCATCATTGCCTCAAAAGGCAGGCTCATCCCAGCAGCTTCCTGGCTCTGAACAACCAGTGGTATACTTAGTTTCATCCTCCTAATTACCCTCCCTTCTCCATTACCTTCTGTAATTACAAGCCAGGCTGCACTTGTGCACTTACTTTATCATTGAATACAGACTTCAGACTCAGTTTGTATGAGGCTTATCAACGCCTCAGTTCCTAAATCAGTTTTACAGGCAGTGATTAACAAAACTCTCATATAACGTGTCATGAAAGCATCAGGAAAAATTCTCACCTGAAGTTACTCTATTTATTTATACTTGAAGTTGGCTTAGATCAGGGAATATACCAACCCTTTATTTTCGCCTTACTTTGGAATTTACTAATACCTAGAGAAAATACTACTGAAGGTTTTTTTCCCCAGCTTTTGATTGAGACAGAGGTTTAATTTTAAAGTATTTGCATATGATTAATTTTTTCTTCAATAAAATCAAGAGATGCTATAAAACTAAAGGAATGTAAAACCAAATGCCTGATAAATAATAGGAGTGTGGGGTTTTTCACAAGTCAGACTGCTTGTAATGAAGATACAATGATCAGTCTTAAAGAATCATAGGATTCTTTAGAGATAAAAGGGAACAACACCAAAGGCAGCATGCAGGTTTTGGTAAGCAGATATCTATAACTAACTATGCAAATGAAACACTGGACTTCAGTTCCTGGAAGCTTATTTTTCTAATCAATTCCACCATGTGCAAAAGGCTTCAGTGCCTCTTCTTGAGTTTCTGTAAAAGTACTTACGTCTACTTTTTCTGTTCTATATGCAGTTTCTCAGCATGTTTTCTCATAGCTTATTAACTCTGCATCAGCTGACAAAACCCTGGCTTCCTGCTGTGGGTCTGAATGGTAGGGTTGCTGAACTCTGCTCCCTCTTCATTCTGATGGGGTCAGAGGGATCTTGTGGGTGCTGTAGCACTGGCTCTCCTGTCAGTCAGGGATTTGTGCTGGATTGATCTCTGCCTCCAAAAAAATGTTCTCTTCCAGTTTGCATGTCATTGTTCAGGGGCTAGAATATGCTTTTTGCAATACTCTTTTTCATGCAGTGTTCAGAGCAATTAACTAATAGACAATGAGAGAGGCATTTATTTTGGCTACTGTCAATAAAGAAGAGATATTTGTTTCTCTCTAGGGCCCTTTCTGTATGTTCTGCAATCAGTATATGCCCATATCAAGCTTCATATCCTGATATGGTGGCCATGAAGCTTATGACTGCTTAAAAAGAGTTAGATGTCTTTCTGTGTTGATTTGGAAGTCACAATACCTCAAAGGGTATGAAAATCTCTCAAGGAAATGAAAAAAATATTCTAGCTGCTGTCTATATAACCCCTCTACAGCTGGATTCCTGTAGAGGTACAGACACTGAAACCTATCGAACACAGCTTTGCACTGTTCTCATGTTTATGCTTACCTTAGTGTTACCTAGCCTCTTTGTAAGTGTTAGTGGCCATGCACTGTGCAAGGTTATACACTCTCTTGCTCCATAAAAGTGGGTTTTGACCCCATGGAAAATACACTGACAAATCAAAATGTGTAATCGGTTTAAAGTTCAAGGGTGCAGCCAAATCCCGAGCCAGTGTAATTTGACCTAGATTCACTGGAGCAAGTAGAGATGCAGTGAACTACATAGACAGAAGGACCAACCCACTGTGGTTGCCCTCGTACAGTGAGGATGCTGAGGAGATACTTAATGCCTGATGATGGCAGTGGTTTGCTGCTTCAGCAAAATGAAGTTTCAAAAAAAAAAAAAAGTTTCCTTAGGCTACTTCCTGCAAATAATAGTGATTGAACACCCGGGATGCTGAGGAAACTCTCAGCTGAGTTTAAGGGACACTGGCAACACAGACCTGCTTATTTCTATGCCACTAGAGAAGGGAGTGCTTAATCAATGTTACCACTACATGGGCCAAAAGTCTGTTTGTCATTCATTTGCTACTGATACCTTTGCTAGTATCCTCCCATGTCCCTGTGACCCCTTGCCCCCAAGCTCCAGGTCCATCTAGAAATCGATGTGCTGTGACTTTTAACCCTGCACTAGCATCATTGCAACACTTTTCATCAATAGGTCAGGTTTTTGTTTCAGGAGCTATTATTCCAAGGACACTCTTTCAAACTTCTAGAGCCAAAGCAACCTTCAGCCTTTATACCACTTCAAGGATTTTTCCAAATTGGCAATTCTTCTTCCAGAATGCCTTTATATATGGGAAATCTCAGCAACTCTTGAACTCCAAGGTTGCTGGACATACAGAAGAGCAAAATTTGCTAATAGAAGCCCATGTGTAGCTCTGAATGGCAATTTCTGGATATTGCTTCCAGTCATCTCAGGAAAAATGCCAAGGTTAATTGAACAGCTCTAAGAACCAGGAAGAACAGGTTAAGGGTAGGTCTCAGCTATCATTTCCATTAGTACGAAAGTGACAGTGCCTATGTTACCAACTAATGTTTCCTTGATTGGTACTACTATAACTGACTTCATCTCAGTCCTGGAAGGAGTCAAAATGAAATATTTTAACTAGTTCAGGGTATTTTAACTTTCTAGTTGAATCAGTACTCCTGAGCACCTGGATATTAGCTGTACCAATTCCTGATAAATAATGCACATTATCTTCTGCAACTCCGGGTATCTTTGTAACCTTCTTCTTCTGTCATAAGGAAGACATTACCAATGGCTGATACTAACTTAGGCTTTGTGCAGCTATGGTAATTTAGTCATGGATTTTGTGTTTATGTTCCAGCCTACTTGATAAGAAAAAGTAATTCATAGTAATTCCCACGTAGTGGGAAGTTATGGTGGGGGGCTTAGGCAGCATAAACTACTGTGCCATTTCAGGTCTTTTTCAATAGGGTCTTCTCATATCCATTGTCCCAAGGCTGAGTTGATAGTAAATAGAATACATAGGAGGAACAGATTCACACTGACAGGAGGTGGATACACGAATGTTAGGAAGAGGACTGAAGTTAATTCATGGAATGACTATTTGAATATTTACGTCTGGATTGTTGGGGGGGTATGGGAGGGTCCAAACTGATTTTTATTCAAGGAAGGCAGAATTTAATATATATGATGCGAAGACTTTTTTTGGGGAAAAAGTATTTTTGTTGTTAAAACATATAAAAGAAAAACTAGGCTCTGTTGTCAATCATGTCTCAAGCTTCTGATACAATAAGCTTGGCCAAATTATTCTTCTCCACGTGCCTCAGAATTTAAGGCTACAAAATACCTGTATGATACTGTCCTACTATATAAGGTTAGCATTACACTCAACGCATTGCTGTTTAAAAACAGGATGAGCCCCTTTGGGCAAGTTACTATGACTGCAAAGACACAATGTGCTATGGGGAAATGGTCCTGCTCGCTAAATAGGTGACTACGTTGTTCCACTTTAACTCTTTTAAATGCTGAAGTGGAATCTAAAACTCCATTGTTCATTCATTACATGGAAAAAAAAAAAAAAGTGGTCCACTACAGACTGCATGACTGATGCAAGAGCTTCTATTAAGATAACACATTAACGGGAATAATCGGTTTACGTAACATGCTCAAACATACCTCAGGGTAGAGGAAAATGCACCTGCTAGAAACGGGGCAGGGCGAAGGGGGGGCCCGGGTGGATGGATGCTCAGGGGCTGCGCACCTCTTGCTCCCTCCCATTCCTCCCTCCACACACGACCACGTTCCTCCACGTGCCTGTCCCCGCACGCCGCCCGGTTGCCGGCGCTGTGCGAGTGCCCACGGGGCTCCCTCTCCCATCCTTCTTCCCTCCCTCCCTAACATCCCTCTGTCCTTCCTCCCTTCCCTATAGAGTCCCTTCACCGCCGCTCCACCCGACCCGAGTGGGGGTGGGGGGCATTTAAGGGCATCCCCCCTTATCCCCCCGAAAAATCACGCCGCAAATGCGGCGTGGGGATAGCAGCGAGGGAGGAGGGAGGGAGGGATGTCAGCGGGGCTGCGGTGGTTCTCTGCCGGCCGCGGCGGAGCGGGGGGCAGGGAGGCACGGCGAGCAGAGGCGGCTCGTTCGCAGCCAGCCCCGGCACGATGTGTGTGTGTGGGGGGGGAGGCGGCGCAGGGTGCGATCACCCCCGGGGGCAGCGGAGGGCAGGGTCCCTGGGCGGGGGACACTCACCATGGCGGCGGAGCGGCGGCGAGGCGCTGTCCAGGGTATCGCCGGGCTCGGAGAGCTCTGCAGGCGCGGCCCCCGAGCCCCCGCTATAAGGCACCGCCTCCTCCCCGGCTCTGCCGAGCCCGCCCCCGCCGGTTGCCGGCGGACACGAGGTTGGGAGGGACGGGAGAGCAAAGAGGATGGATGGGGAGGTGGTGGGAAGCAACCGCTGGGAGGGGGAATGCAGTAGTTGAGGAGGGGAAGAGGCTGAGTGATGCTGTTCCACCAGCGACCCAGATGTCACAGTGGATAGTGAACGTTTGTCTTTGTTGGAATCTTCGCTGTTGGGAAGATTCAATTCATTGACCAGCTACTTTGGGAGCGGAGAGGGCCACTGGCTGGCTGCTGTGGTCCTGACACAAACCTGTTTCATTCAAAGAGGGTTTGGTCGGTGGCCCAGCACTCATATTTGCATCTGAACTTCTCTGACCTCAAGCCCTGAATCCTGCACACACTGTGACAAAGTGAGATACACCACCTAAGGGTTAGGTGGTTGGACTCGATGATCTCAGAGGTCTTTCCCAATCTAGATGAATCTATGATTCTCCCTGTGGCATCTCCCTGGAGATCTGATCTGTCTATTAGGGAGGAATTGATAAGCAAATGTTTATTTATGTTGGCTAGGGAGGAGGCAAAAATCACACAGAACAGGAGCTACCAACCCTGTCACAACTCTGCCACTGATAACATAACAGAAAAAGTGTCAGGGAAGGAAAAGGCTTTGTGTGTGGTAGAACAAGCACAAAATTTCAGACCTTCAAAACTGATTTTTGTTCTAGGTGCTAACCAAGTCTTATAGTTCCAATAAAAGATTTATTTAAACTTTCAAAGCTTACTGAAAATGTACTACTTCTTTACCCCTGCTTTTAATGAAGAGGTCTTTGGCATATGAAATAAAAATATTATTTTTATTTTATTTTCTAAACGAAAACTTGTCAAAAAATGACATATTCATGCATGCACTTTCATTGTTGTCCCCTCAATTCTGTGCATAGTTTTGTTGACCAGAGCTCAGAGAACAGTCTTTCCCAGTTTCAGAGGCACGAGCAGTGAAAATAAAGGGACCATGTGTGGGGCAGGAAAGGTATCATCTTCACAAACTAAAGTGTACTTCATCTACAGACGTGCTATATTTGTCCAAAATGTAGCACTGATGTTCTGAACCTTGAAACTTCCTTCCTGGTAGTCTCTTTGTCCATGTACAACTTCACCCCTTGCTTTCTCTTGGACACAGAGATCCACCGAAGGCAGTGAGAAGGGCTATCTTCCCAGGGCTGCCTGCGTGCCCAGAAATGATACTGCCAGGAGACTCACGTGAAAACATGTCCTCACGGAATTTCTAACCCACTTTTACTTGTTTGCTCAAGCTTCCAAATTCCAGTGCATCCATCTACTCTGAACTACCGCAATTCTGAGGTTGACCAGCCATCCTTTACCCTATTTCATCTTTTTGACAGGTTATTCATTTAGTTCTTTGTGTGTTACTACAAACCATCCTGAAATACTGAGCAAAAATACTTTTTGATATTCATTCTGTCCCCAGGGAAATTGTTCCCTAGGCGGAAAATCATCCTCTTTGTCCAAGAAACTTCTCTTTATGCACTGTAGAGCAAGGAGCAGTTTGGATGCTGACCGACAGAGAAACATGGTAGTGATTTGGTGCATTGGAATGCTTCAGCCTCACAGTTTTTATTCCACTTTCTTTATAGTCCAAACAGGCTGGAGTACATGTGTCAAGCCAATAGCAGACCTAGTAATACAGTAATATATATTCTTTTATAAAGTCTTCTTTTTCTTTGTCTAAAACAGTAAGGAAACATATATTCAAGTTTGGTAAATATGTAACATTTCTAATTTCTTGAGTTCCTTGTTCCTGATACAGTACATTAATACTAATTAATGTAGTTTCCTCCTATAGTAGCAACTGTATTTTTTATAAAAACAGTAGTGTCACCAGCAAAGAACAAATAGTATTCTGGTGGCATCTAAAAGAAGTTGTAATAGCATTATGGGTATTTTTAACACCTATCTAATTACCTGAATTTGGAGATTTAAGGGCTGTGGCAGGATTTGGATTCATCTGTTTTGTATGGAGAGTGATGCCATGCATTTAGTTGGATCCCAGGCACTGAGAACAGCAGACCTCTGCCACGGATGTTAGTTTTTAGTGGTCATTGAACAGTGTGTTGGCATGAGGCAAAAGGCAGAAAAATAAGTTGACATGAGGACAAACAGACTTGATTAGTTCCAGCTGAAATTCCTTGGAAACCAGAAGAGTAAGTGGAGGCAAATAAAACAGAACTTCATTCTGGGGCAATTCTGTTACACAACAATCACTGTTCAAAGTGAAATACCACAGGGATCTGGCTTGAGCCCTGCTTATCTGGGGGTTGTTGTAGGTTGAACCTTATCACAAACCACCCAATATACAGAATCACAGACGGGCTGAGGTGGGAAGGGACCTCTAGAAATCATCTGGTCCAACACACCTGCTCAGGCAGGGCCCCTTACAGTCAGCTGTCCAAGGCTGTGTCCAGTCAGGCTTTGAATATCTCTGTGTCTTAGGAAAAGCACCTTTGAATTGCAATGACTTCAGAGATGCCAGGTCCCACTGGGTTTGCAGCTCAGCAGGAAACAGGCAAACAAGGTACCACTGCTCAGCCAATTACCAGCAACTCTCAGCGCCTGATAAGTTTAAATCTATAGGATAAAGTTTTAGTTCGGGAAAGAAAAGTTAAGTCCAACATCTATTACCAGTCACTGCTCTTGATCACGAACTCCTCTGAAATTTGGAATTTAAATTCAGGACATGCCTATTTCAAAAAGTTGTTCTCTCAGAAGCATTTATTCAACTCATCTTTCTCTAACTAGCTCAGATGAAAGATGTTAACTTTCTTATATTATCCATTATTTTTCTAATTTTATTGGCACAGGACAGTGGTTATGTAACTGAAGATCTTGATTCTGCTAGTGGTACCATGGGGAGTGCTGAGATCAGTGGGACAGAATTTGATAGAATCATGGAATGGTTTGGATTGGAAGGGACCTTAACAATCACCTGGTTCTAACCTCTCTGCTATGGGCAGGAACACCACTTGACCAGATTCAGGGTCCAATCCCACTGGCCTTGAACACTTCCAGGGATGGGGCATTCACAATTTCTCTAGGCAACCTCTTCCAGTGCCTTACCACCCTTACAGTAAAGAATTTCTTCCATATATTTAACCTAAATTTCCCCTCTTTCAGTTAATATTTGTTAATTTTTTGTTAACTTTTTTTAACTCTCGAAGAGTGCTAAAAGATTGTGAATAACAAAACTGTGTGGAATCAAATTTAAGTAATCAGGCTAAAGTGAAAATTTGAGTTTATTCTCTTGTTTTTCTTTGCAAATTGGTTTTGAAACTATGGCTGGCGTAATATGTCTGTAAAGGTAAAGTTCATATTAATTTGTCAGCTCTGAGCATATAAAATAAAAACTAAGAATAAACTTATGCTGGAGGAAGCATTGAATGGAGTGATTGTGGAGCTTTGTAGTTTTTATAACAAATATTTCACTTTAGCACCCTCTCTCGGACACAAACCAATACTGCTGGTGTTTATTTTTAAAGGCTTAGTTAAAGCTGGAAAGCAACTGCAATGTGTCCAGGAAAAGTCCCTGGCTGCAGTCACAGATACAGTTTAGTTGTGTGGCTTGGTATTCTATGAACTGACGTAAATAGAATTTTCCCATCCCTCTTACACTTATCATCTTTATACAAATAGTCTGTGTTGTTCACTTAAGCCAGCCAAGAACTGGGAAAAGATTGATGGCTCCAAAGCAAACACCAAAGGTGAGTTGTTACAAAAGACCACAGTTTGATGTGCTGTTCCTCACAGTCTGCACGTCTCCTGTGAGGAGACTGCTGGAGTTAACTGCTGTGAATTGTGGACGGACCTGAAGATTCTCTTCTTACATCAGTAGTATTTAGTGTTAGGGTAGCATATGGAGGCCCCAGTTTGGGATCATGGCCTTGCTGTGTTGAGACCTACACCAAAGAGTTCACAGTGTAATGATGCGCAATGGTGTAGCGCCGAGGGGAAAAGGGTGGGAGGAAGCTGTTCTCTGTACTCCTGCCCCGGGAAAGAGAAGTGTATTAATGCCAAAAGAAGGTCAGCGGTGTGAAGGACACTGAGTATATTCTGAATAGCAGAAAGGCCCACAGTTTGCACTGTTCTGCATGAACTATCATTACCTGGTCAGCTTCTGGGGTACAGCTGATAGGCAGTCAAGCTCCTATATGTTGTTTTGGTTCCAGTAGTTGGTATGGTTGCCAGTTACATTCAAAGATACTGTATGTGACAAAAGAAGGATTAAAAAATTAGGACACTGTAGAACAAAAACTGCCCGGATTACTTTAACTTGCTCTCTTTGTGCATTTTCATTTTAATAAGCCTTATTTGCAATAGTAGCCTTCGGCAAGACTCTTCAATGCATGGTGCTTATGACAGTAAACAAGGAGAAGGCCATGAATGATGCAAGGGCCTGCAAAAGGACAAAAAATAATCTTGCTAAAGTGGCTGAAATTCCTTTTCTGGACTAAAATATACAACTTATATAAGATAATTCCCATGATATTTACCTATCTTTTTTCTACAGCTAGTCAATGATTTTATTCTTCCTTCTGCGGTCTGCCTCTAGGTAACCGGGTGTAGATTTGTTGAAGTGCTGAGAACTTACAGCAGTATCTGACATCAGAGAAAGTTGTGCTACAAATAGACTAAACACAAGGGAGACATGAGAATTTTCCCCATATGCCAGCTCAAAAAGAGGCCAGAAGGGGCAATCGAAAACCAGTTGATACTTCAAACGTATTTCAGCCTCAGTTCTCTCCCTGGTGAAGGAGGGATAATAACATCCCTCCCCTTGTCTTGTTATGCAGACACAAACACTAGTTAACTGGTTGCTGTGAAGCAACTGGTTAGTCTAGATGCATCAGCTCTTGCACCCTGAAAATAAGGCTTGTGCCCTCAGCACCTGCAACCTTCTTCCCTGAGCTAAAGAGTCTTTAGCTCCCTTATTCACAGCACTGCAGGGCCTGGCTGATTTGAGGTTATATATCAAATCCTGCTGCTTTGAGCTCATCCGTGGTTGGGCAGAGGCCCTCTGAGTGC